TCAGCCTTCACTGAATCCATCTGCATCACCTTTCCCAGGTTCCGAGCATCCTGCTTGATCCCTCTCATAGTGGGACCTCCTGAGGCAAATCCTCCTGATATCACGGCCACAAAGCCCGAATCAGTGATGTTGCCATAATCCTCTTTGTCTTTGTTCTTATCATTCTTCTGTCTTTGCTCGGACGTGTTGTTTGTCCGTGTGTAAGTGAATTTGGACTTCATCCCATATGAATTCAGCATGCCCTTCTCGCCAATTTGTCCAGCAGTCTCTTCAAGTTGATACAATCATTTGTGTCATGTCCCACGTCCTTGTGGTAATGACAATACTTGTTCTTGTTCCTGTACTGAGCCGGGCCTCTCAGCGGCTGTGGCTTCTCAAACTCAAACTTATCCTTGATTTCCATCAAAATAGAATAACAATCCTTGTTGAATTCAAACTAGGGCTCGTACGCCTTGACCTTCGTGGTTTTCTGCGGCTGGCCATCAACCACCCAGACTTCTTTTCTCTTTTTTCCTACTTTCTTTTGGCCGGCCGAGTCTTTCTAAGAAGATTTTTTCTCAGCCCCCTTGGCCGGCGCTTCTGCTTTAGTGAGCGAACAAAAGTCCGCCGCCTCAATATAAGCTTCGGCTTCCCGCAGAACACCTGCGTATGTCCGAATCTTTTTCCTTACCAAGTCAAATTTAAAACCATTGTGCCTTAATCCCCGGAGAAATTCAGAGTAAGCCATTTCATCCGGCAGATTATGAATTTGGGCTTTTTCTTGGTTAAATCGTTGGACGTACGAGCGTAAGCCCTCATTTTTTTCTTGGACGATTGTCGCCAAGTTAAGGCTAGTCTTTCGAGGTGGTATGTTGTATGAAAAATTTCCCACGAACAGCAAACTAAGAATTGATACAACCGGCCGGCAAGCTATTGAACCAATCCTGTGCCACACCCTTCAGAGTGGCCGGGAAACATTTGCACCACGTAGCATCATCTACACTTTGCAAGTACATTAGGTTCCTGTACGAGGTGATGTGCTCCTCTGGGTTGCCCGTGCCATCATAGGCTCCCACAAGTACACTTTTCACCTTTGGTGGCTGAGGGGCATTTAGGATATCTTTCAAAAACGGGGGCGGCTTATCTCCCAGAGTAAGTAGGCGCATTTGCCAATCAATGGGTTGCGGTTGAACGGACGGTCCAGTCAGATAGGGAGCTTGTCCGTACACCTGCCCATATGGCCCATATTGTACGTATGCCTGGGGGTTTGGCTGCATCAAGCCATTGAACCCCTGAGGTTGATATTGCAGTGATTGGGCCTGAATAGGAGTTGGAGCATGGAAGACTGGAATAGGAGTTGGGGTGCGAATTGCCTGACTTCCACTGGAGGTGGCCATGTTGGTATGTTGGGAGAGAGAGTGATCTGAAAAATTATCTGGCATAGTTGGGGTTGAAGCTGTGTCCGAGTGGGCAACGCGTTCCCGCTGCTTATGCCTAAGATACTCTCTTGCGTCCTTCCATCGTCTGGGCGGTTCAGGCTCTTCTCTACGAGGCTGCCTACCCCTCCCCCAGCCGACTGCGTTTTCACCAACAAGTCAGATAAATTAGTCCGCGGTACTCTCGGGGACCTTCCAGTCGGCCTCCGAAATGGAGTATTTCCGGCGTCCGTTGCATGGATTGTTTTGCTGTGTGTCTTTCTTGGAGCCCTCTGTTCCTCTCTCCTGGGCGGCTGCCTAGAGGTAGAGGCTCCGTTTTCAATTTCCTTTCTGATTTTGTTAAGCGCGGCCTTAAGAGAGGCTGCAGTAACAAGAGGATCATCATCTTCTTCAAATGTGGCTATTAGAGGATCACTAGTACGGATCGTAGGGATTATATCCTCTACATGTCCATCCTCGCCTGGATTAGGTGTCTGGCCGTATATCGCCATAACGTACGAGTATCCCCACAGACGGCGCCAAATGTTTCGGGTCTTTTTTGAATCTCCTGGGATACTGGTCACGTTTGCTGGCAATACGTTGGTCCCACCTGCAAAACCACGAATATTCCGTTCAACGGAATATTCGCCTCTGACGATCAAGTCAGTGATCAGAACGGAAAAAGGGCTAGAGAGAGAAAGTAGAGAGAAGTTGGAGCTATTTAATGCTCTGTGTTTTCAATTGTCCGAAAAAAATTCCCCCCTCATCATAAATGATTGGGGTATTTATAGGGGTGGGATTCGTGCCCCTCTAGGGTTTATACCCTAGACTTGCGTGACGTGATTGGCTGCGCAATCAACGATCGCCACGTGCCCCTCCAAGGGCGCCGTTTTGCGGCTTTCAATGTCATCTCTCAAAATTTGGGCCCTGACGTTGTTAGGGCTTTTTGGCGTGCTCTTTTTTAGAAGCATCTTCCCGTGGTACACGTGTCGCCCTATGGCTGGGCCACGTGTCACCATGGGATTGGCCTGAGACCTTAAAAACTCTGGATTGCGTGGCATCTTCCCGTGGTGACACGTGTCACCCCATAATTGGGCCACGTGTCACTGTGGGATTGGTCCACGTATACGGGGTATTTTTACCCTCAACAACTCTATAGTCCGTAATAATCATCCAAATAACGCCATGTCGAATAGTTTCAATTGATCTTGAGTCAAAAATCATCCAAAGCATTATTGTATGTAAGCTGAGTTTAGTAGAGCTACTATTTGCAGTCGGTTGACATCAAAACATTGTGAGCATGCTTTGCTTGAATGTGCTTAAATTATAGTTGTAGAGATGAAACTAATTTTGTATTTAAACATGGTGAACATGATTCGATGATGATGATGATGATGCCTAGCATTAACCCACTACTCTTAAGAGTCCGCTAAGGCAAACTAATCACTTTGGAGAGCAAATTCCTTTACATTAGTGGCATGCTTGGATTGGGGGTAATATATTAAGGGGGTAATAAAAGTCAAACTAAGCAAAATGAATGTGAAAATAGGGAAGAAGGAGATAGTGATGATGTGACTGTAAGAAAATTATGTAGTGATGGTATGGTATTAGGTAAAGAAAGATCAGGAATTAATACCCTCATTTTGGAGGCAATGGTTACACTAGGGGGAGGGTGGGTAACTATTACCCTCATTATAAGAGTAATAATTCCGGCCTCCATCTCTCATTTCCTAATGGCACAACTATCTTATTTCAATCGTAAATATTAGGACTGCCACAACACCACCTCTAATTACTTTTGTTTTTTAAAGTTTGACTTTTATTACCCCCTTAATGTATTACTCTCAATCCAAGCATGCCCTAGGTGTTATTAATTACGCATTAACAATTTGAAGCACATATTCCAATTCCAACACACACCCTAGCTTCAAATTATATCACAATGACTATATAATATTCACGTTGGACTTGTTCTCACATCAATTTTGTTGGTAAACATTATCATAAATGTCTTACTTTCAAAGTACTTTCTCCGCATAACTGTATCTATTGCACATATGACATATCTACATATCTACAACATTTTTTTTTGGACTTTGTAAATCACTTCTCTTCACCATGATTCTCTTATTCATCACACACTTCTTTTTTTCATATAAATTGATAAGTGTTTGAGTAAAATGTCTATTGAATTAATTATGTGAATAATTGTCGTTGTAAAAGAAAGAAGATTGGTTAATTTAAAATTTAATGGATATTAAGAAACAAAGCTTGATCCTGGAGGCTTTTGCACCATCCTTATTGGTGCATACTGTATACGTTTGAGTAAAAAAAAAATAGCGGAATGAACATATTATAGAAATATAATGAATATATAATTACAGTTAAAAAAAACATACTATTAAATGTAAAGAACATATATATACATATAGTGAAAAGAAAATAGTAGTAAAATGTAGGAACATAAACCTAAAGTGAAAAGAACATATGGTTAAATAATGTTCTTTATCTCCATGTTCTTTGATTGTCAGTACAATGTTATAATGTTCATTGTTTATTTTGAAATATTCTTTGACTTTTGTCTTTAGAGTATGGTGATTGAATAATATTCATTACATTATATTATCATGTTCTTTATTAACATTACAGATTTTCTTTAGATATAAAAAAAAAAAAGAACATAAAACTGAATGTTCTTTACAAAACAGTTTTATGTATATTATAAAACAATTATATGTTCTTTACTAAACAATTATATGTTCATTATAAAATAACTAGATATTCATTCCGCCTTTTAAAAAAAATACAAGCAGGCCTACAGGAAGAAAATTTCAATTAAGGAATAATTAGAATGCAATCTCACATAAGTGTACAAATTAAACTCACCTTTAACATGACTTGCATGTCACACTTAATCTTATCACTTTTAAAATCAATTTTATTCTGTACGCTCAATTAAATTATTGTTCTACATCCACCACAATTGTAGTTCACATTTTTGTTATTGTAAATGTAGTACAGTGAAAACTTAGTTTCATCCTATCACTTAACATGTCGGGACTAGGCCCTAGCTAGCATTAGCAACAAGCTAACAACTAACATTCTTATCTGGTGACCACTGGCAAACGACCTACATTGTATCCCGAGGGGCTCGAGCTACCCCTGATTAAATAATAATGGATGCGCGTCACAAACTTTTTTCCCTATAAAAATTAAATAATAGTGGATATTTTTTCAATACAAAATAATGCACTATGCTAGAATTTCAATACAAAATAATAAAATTTCAATGAATTAAGTTTAATAATAATTTTTCAGTTTTCACCAAATTTACTTTGCTTGAATTTCATAATACATAGTTCCCGTCAAAAAAATTCATAATACATAGTAATATATACCATCCATATTTTACTACTTACTTCATTTGCATTATTCAATTGAAATCTTTTGAAAAATGTTAAAGTGAGGGGTTGTTGACGGATCAGATAAGCAAAAATAACTGCCAAGACTGGCACATCTCTAAGGCAACCAAAACATACTTAGAAATTTACAACACAAAGTAATATACAAGTACTTAGAAAACATCGGCAATAGAGGATTAAATACCTCATCCTCTTTGAGTTGCTTCATGATAGAGGGATCCATTGCACAACTAAATACTTATTCAAAACTTCTACCAACTGTTGATTAAAATACCAAGAATTAACTCAAATTAAAACAGCCACAAATAATTAACAAGAAATTGAAATTGGTGCATCTCAAGATTTCTCTTATAATTTCAACTTCCCTACGCTACGAAGGTGGTTACTTTGGTAATCATGGCTACACAATTCACCAATTTAATACCCTATTCGATTTGAAACCCGGTAATAAACTCATGATTTCTAATTCCCACAATAAAAATTCGATTATTAGCAAATCACAATTCTATATTTCTTAACCAAATTCTGTTAAAATTAAATGCCCTAAATAAATAAATAAATAAAAGCAATGGAAAGAAAATAAGAGAACGGATGTTATACCTAGCGTGTAAATGAGTAGGATCGATGGTGAAATAATGCTAAACGGCAGAAATTATTACATCATCCCACAGTAAACCGGCAATGGTGGAGGCGGAAACCAGTACAAATTGATCCAGACAAAAGAGATTTTGCACCCTATCATTTCAATGTGGTTCTTGCCTTTCTTAATATCTTATACTGTTAACTGTTTAGTGCTAACAAAAATAAATTGAAATGATAGGGTGTCAATTGTCTTTTGTCGGAATCAATAATTATTGGTTTTGTCGGGATCATTTCAATTTTTGGAAGCTAGAGAAGGATGGGGCAGGTTGCATGTCTATTACCTATTTGGCTATGGTTTTCTTTCTTTCTTCTTTTCTTCGTGGGGGAATTAGGGAAGGATGTTATTGCGCTGTTGAAGCGGATTCAGGCGTTCGCTAAAACTAACAGGATCGGATTTGCTATAACTAGAGGGGTGGAGACCTAAATTGTATCTCGGCTCCCCACCAATTTCTTCTAAATTGATTGACATTGTTGGTTTTTGATAATAATAATAATAATAATAATAATAATAATAATAATAATAATAATAATAATAATAATAATAATAATAATACGTACCCAACTTTTAATTTAAATATAAAGACCAGAAATTAATATATCCATGTTTAATTTGTTCGAGTCATTATCGTCAAGTTAAACGCTCGTGGAGTGATACAAGATCGATGCATGATAGTTGCCGACATTAAAACTTCTATTTTTGAATTTCATTTTAATCTGTGTGATCTGTGATTTGACTAAGGCAGTTAGCCTATGTTATGATGTTTCTTCTCGATATTATTCACTCAATTATTTAGCTGGCCAAAATCCTTAATTATTTAATAATTAATATATGAATTCAAGCATTAATTTTTGTTTTAGATCAATGTTATTACGGAGTATATTTTATCTATCAATTAGTATTATATATAGGAACATGTTATACATAGCCCTTAGGGCTACATGTAAGAATTAAAAACACTCTTGAAAATTGTGTAAATTCAAAAAATCATGACAAAAACACACTAATTACACTGATCTATGCGTGTTTTTATCATTAATACCTAATTTTATCAATTAATTAAAAAAAATAAAATAAAAAAATTGACCCATTTGTTCGAACATTTGAGCAACCTCTTTCCCTTTTTTTTTATTCCTATTAAAAGAAAAATCCCACCTTATATACTAAAAGAATAACCTCATTTTTTTCATTGCATGTAACCCCTTTATCCATCAAGGCAAGGATCTTTTTGCTCAACTGATAGGAAAAAACTTGCGTGGAGCTAATCCACAAAAATATCATTGTGAACCCGAGACTTATACGCACGCAGCTGACTTTATATGGAACATACTACATATCATAATTTTAATATATTAACCTTATTTTTAACATAGCAGCATTTATTAAAACTTGTGTGACTTTTATTATTGTTATGAACCTAAAGTACAATGTTATGTTGAGCATAGTGACCCTAGTTTTAAAAATTAACTTGTATTATTCATATATAAAATAAAATAATAACCCCCTCTAGCTTTTATGATGGCACAATGACTTTTATTCCAACATAATAACCTTTATTTTAATATAGTGACCATTTTTTTTTTAATTTTTGTAATAAAACAACCATAGTGTCTCTAATATTATTGGTTCACAATAAATAAGTGTGAACCAGTCTATTAAAGATATTGTACATTTGATATACTTCCTTTGTTTTTCTTTTATTGCACCATAAAGACTTTAATTTGACACTATTTAATTACATAATCTTTTTTGACAATCTTTTGTGATTTAACCGTAAGGTCAAATATATATGTGAAATCTAGTTAGATTCACCTTAATATCTACTTGTTGAATATTAATTTTTTTTATAATTTTTACAAAATTATAATTAAAGATATTAATAGCCAAAGTAATGTATTGACAAGCATAAAATCATGATTTAATAAATCAAAACGAAGGAATTACTCGTATATTTTTTTTCTTCTTATTTTAAGATTATATATTGATATATTCATTAAACATCTGGTGTGAGTGTCGCCACGAAGAGCTTGGCTAGTTGCCTCAAGCAAATCGCTCGGGGATAGGGGTAGGGCCACTTACTTACAGGCTCCTCCTATAATTAAGTTAAGAGAGAATGATAATAAAGTTGGACGTAGCTTATATATAGGCTTTGAATAATAATAATAATAGTAATAAAGTCGTAGCTTTAATTAATTTAAGAGAGAGTGCTAATTACTTAGTTTAAAGTTGTAAGAGATAAAAGTGTATGGCGTCTACTCCTGGTATCTTTTCTCACTGGCCGTGGGAACCTCTCGGTAACTTCAAGGTGTACTCTCTATTTTACTACAAGTATATCTTCGTCATTGCTATTTATTGCGTATTTGTTTCATTTTTTTAAAATTTTTAACAAATTCATGATATATATATATATATATATATATATATATATATATATATATATATATATATATATATATATATATATATATGTTTCGGATGAAAACAATCGAATCTCGGAAGATCCTTTTATCTTGAGGGAACTTGGTCTCGGTCCGAACGACGCAGGAGCCGAGGGTTTCCTGCACAACAAATACACGTAAACTAGCCTCGGGGGGGACGCCGAGGAAGGCCCCTCCGATGCTTAAGTCAGTATATTAGAGAGAGAAAGCTGTGCAAGAGTTTAGTTGCTTGAGGCTTTATTGTCTTACCAAGAATTGACCAAATTGTTGGCTTTTATACCTTGGCTAATGAAGGAGGCGGATTGGGCCCGGAAGTCAGTTGGGCTGGGCCAAGCTGATTGGGCCGTTGACTGACCTTGACATGGCTTTGAGGATGTTGGTTTTTGACTTTAGCATATTTGGAGAGTTGAACCTTAGCCTTGGGCTTTTAATTGGATCATTCAGTGACCAGGCCCAATTGGACTAAATTGGACCCAAACAACTTGCCCCCCAGACCCGATTTGGAAGGATGACGGGTCGGGTTTGATTTAATCAGAAAAGGAGGGAAGTGAATGATTTGTTGATCCAAAAATGTGAATTTAAACCGTAATTAACCCATGATTAATGAGATAACAACAGTTAATGTGGATAATTGCGGAAGTTGGACGGGTAGTGGGCGATTTAACTGCAAGGTCGTGTGTTTAACGGTTACTTAGTGGGGTGCTTGAGAGAAATTGAAACGCAGACTCCTTGAATTCCCATTTCTGGAGATATAAATAGAGGCGCGTCTTCTCTCCCCACTCACTCATCAACACAAACCCAGAATTCTCAAGAACGCTCAAGAGCCCGCATCAAAACTTCGCAAATTCCCCGAGCATTAAGCTTAGAAGCTGAGACTTGTCACTACCAATTCGTAAATCGGCGGCTTTTGCTTCAGATCAAGGTAAATTCCTTTGATTTTATTTCATCTTTCTTCGACTTTGCACTCTTTCCCCTTTTTCGACTTTTTCCTTCGAAATTCGTCAATGGTGAGGGGAGTTAGAGGTGGAGCCCGTGCTCCAAGAAGAGCAAGGCTAATCCCCGATCCCAGGGTCAGGATTGGGACCTGGAATGGACGAAGGACAGAGTCTGACCCTGCTGAAGGGGTTAGGGCGACTCCCATTTCTTCGGCTCCTCCTCAGAGGGCTGAGGGGGTGAGAGCTTCAGGACGGGATGATGAAGTTCCCGCTGTCCTTTGGGATATCCTCCCAGGGTTTTCAGAGTGGGAGGATGCCGAAGTAGCTTCGGCCATGATAAAGAACCGTCCCTACTCATGGTGGGTAGAGAACGCCGATCAATATCGATTTGCTGAGCAAATTGAGTTGCACTACGGCATTTTTGAAGCTGATGGATATTGGTGCCGAATGCCCTCAGCATCCGATAGAATCCATCGTCCACCCCTGGGGTATGTGGGGGTGTACACGAGACAGCTTCAGTATGGGCTGAGGTTCCCTTTGGACGTATTCGTTCGAGACTTGCTGATCCATTACAACGTTTCCCTGTGCCAGCTGACCCCCACCAGCATCCGAAGGGTAATGACGTACTTATGGGTCTGCAAATTCTTCAGATACGTGCCGAACCTGCACTGCTTCAGAAAGCTCCATCGGCTAGTGCCAAATATTCAGAGTGGGCACGGAAGCCATGGTTCTGGGTGGTATCGGATTGAGTCTCGGCCCCCGTTCCTAACCATGTGGCCGAACGACTCTTCAGACAAGGACTGGAGAGGTCAATGGATTTGGGTTAGGGCGCCCACGGAGCCGAGCCATCCTTATGTTTTCAGCGCTCCCCGGTATCTTGCCGAGCCGGATCCTGATATGGGAAGTTTAGGTCCTCCCGAAGATAGCGGGCCAGACCCGAACCTTAATCAGCAGAACATCTTCGGCAAGCTGCCGAACCGGGGAGGCAGCGGCCGAATGCAGCATATCCCGGAGACTTGGCTCCCCGATACGCACTATGTTTTCCAAGAGAATATGCTGGCAGCTGTCGGCCTCAGCCGAAAGTTTAGGGATGGTAATCTTCTTCGGCTGGGGCCGAGGCCTTTTAATTATCTCTTTTCTTCTTTCATTTTGCTTTCTTGTGATGTGCCGAACTAACTGAATTGACTTCTCCCCTTTTCTTTTTCAGAACGGGACGAGACCAACATCGGCATTGATTACGCTCGCCTTGGCGTCAACCGAGAACGAGTCGTAACTGATCGGGCTCCCCCTATCACTGAACCAAGGCGCCGAGAGGTTCACCTAGACTCTTCCCACTTCCAAATTGAGGCTGTTGCTCTGTATCAGAGGCAGAAGCCTTGGTGGAAGAAGAGGGATCCCTTGTTTCAGCTGCTGGAAGAAGAAGCTGAAGCTGCCCGCACAGCCGAAGAGGTTGCACGGGTACTTGAGGCTTGTGAAGGAGGAGAAGGGTCCTCCAGAGCTGCTGAAGCCGAAGCTGCAGCTAGAGCAGCTGAAGAAGACGAGGCTTTGCTGAAGACCTCGGTGAGTTTTTAGACAACTTTTTTCTTTTCTTTTCTTTTTTTTTTACTCACTCTTCTTCCCCCTGTCTGTTACAGTCTGAAGAGAGTAACAGACACAGAGAAGGCAAAGCTCCTGTTCGTCCCGAAGATCAAATACAAGAGTCTTCAGATTCAGATATGGACGAGCAGCCCCTTCTGAAAAGGCGCCGAAGGGTGGCCATCATCGGCCCTCATGATTTTCAGCAGAGGCCGATGACCATCGGCGTCGCAATAAGGGAACCTGAGGAAGGCAATGGATCGCCGAGGGTTCCCCAGCCAACACCCCAATCTCCTCAAAAGACCCCTCCGCCACCTCCTGAGATGGAGGTGGATCAGAGAACTCCCGGACCTAAGGGAGGGGTCCAAGAAGAAATCAAGGAGAGTGCTGCTGAGCACGAAAATAAAGATGCCGTGATGTCAAGTGCTGAAGGCTTCACGGCAGATATCGCAAGAGAGGTTGAGGCTTTCGTCCTCACCCCTGAAGAAGAGGAGGTCATAGTACTTGACTCCTCTGAGAAGGACGA